GTTGAGTAGAGTATCGAGACCTTTACTAAACCTAATAGTAGGTTGAGTAGAGTATCGAGACCTCTACTAAACCTAATAGTAGGGTGAGTAGAGTAGATACTCGAGTATCTACCCGAGAGTAGGTTGAGTAGGTACTCTACTGAACACACCCTTGAATTAATTGTGCATGTCGTTCGTGTGAGGATTCAAGGGAAAAGCCTCCGCAAGAACTGACCATTCTTTTGACAATTTTCTTCCTCTTACCCCCCCACCTGGCCCTGCTCGTTCGCGGGTGCCGCCAGCTTACAACCTTTAAACTCACGGCCTCCACTTCTTTCCTCTAAAATCCCAAATCTACAGCTCAGCACATGTGTAGTCGACGTACAACCAGTGCCAGTCCCCTCGTTCATGAGGTAACAGAGTAGTATCCCCACGCGTTTATCCGGAAATACTTGAGGTATGGCTCAGCGACCAGCACCAAAATGAACTAAACATTCGCACTTATCTCTCTCTCTCTCTGCCTGTCTCTGTCTCTCTCGCCGTAGCATCTATGATAGACAGGGCAATACGGTGTACATCAGTAGTACAACATGACCAGATATAGGCCTGTCCTCCATCGGCCGTTTTTTTTCCTTTTTCGGCCGCTTTTTTCCTTTTTCGGCCGCCCCAATTTTTTTTCGGCCACCCCAATTTTTTTTTCGGCCACCCCAATTTGTTTTTCGGCCACCCCATTTTTTTTTCGGCCACCCCAATGTGTGCCCGTACTAGCCCGTACAGGTACCCTTTTAACACCCTCTCGTGCATCCTATGCTTGTTGCGCAAGATGGATCGGGGCTCATCCATTTATCTGTGTTCTTTGTTGTTGTTGTTGTTGACTTCACATTAAACCGTATGCCAGTTGCTAAATGCCAAAATCTAGCAAAGACTCTCAGCCCGTGGTCACGAAAGTGCTAGAGCCATCTGAGGATCTAAAGAACACGCACACGTAGCAAGAAAAAGGTATCCAAGAGCCCGAAGAGGTACTACTACACCTATATATAATCCCTGCAGCACCGTACGCGTGCCCAAAACTGAACTACACGTCCGTCTCACCGTTCGACTACAGCAACA